AAGTTTCATAGATGGACTACGAAAGAAAATTTCTAAAAACAAAACACGATTGTTTTCCAGCTCTAGAAAACTACGGAAAAATTAGCTTTCAAGGGTACCGTGTTACAGAGCACACAATTCTGAATAAAACTGAGGGTTACCATATTTTCCGCTGACTTTCCATTAAATAGGTATAAGCTTCACAAAAAATTAAACAAACCAAATTTATCATAGCATTGCTATACAACACATTTTTATGGCGCTTATAACGTTTTACGAAAAGATCATAGGAAATGTGGCAATGTCTTATTTTATTTAGAACTTTATGTTTCTTAAGGTGATAAGCTTCGAAATAAATTTTTGCATAGTCTTCTACGATTTGAAAATTACCATATATGGTTTTTCAGAAGTCTTTCGTCTCATAGTTCATCGATGAATTTTTAGTATGAAATATATTTGATAGAGAACGTCATTCATTATTCAAACTATCATTTGAATTTACGTTAAATGCTTGATATTGTAAAAAAAAACAAAATAAAAAATATATTGGTCTTATATTTTTCATCAATGCTATAATTGAATTATATTATGTTTCTTTTTATTTAAAGTATGAAAACAATTCAAACAATTCGTCTTCGTACACATATCAATTGTCTTTATTTTACAAAAGATTTTAGTCATTTACTTGTTGGTGTTAAAGATGGAAAACTAATTGTATTAACAGCTGAAAAGAAATCTTTAACAAAAAATGTTACTAAAAATAATTAAATGTGAAAAAAGACATACATTCCTTATTATTTATTTGGCAATTACTATTATTAATTCCATGTGTCAGATTTAATTCAGTTTTATTTGCTTATAATAAAAAAAAAATACGTTTGTTTTTCGTTTATTGTGTCATCAGTGTGCATTTTTTGTTTTTTCTCTTGATCAAATTTCGACTCAATTCTTTGTGTTTGTGTGTATGTGCCTATGTTATTATTATGCTTTCTCTGATTACTTGTCCGGTTCTCGTTAATTTTCTTGTTTTTATTTCATAATAATTATTATATTTGTGCACATTATCTTCTTAATAAGCACGTTCTTTTTTTTCCAAAAAATTAGTGAGCCGAAAAAAGAATTATTTAATTTTTATATTAAAAAATAAAATAAACAGTGAACGCTATAATTTAAATATAAGATACTAACTAGAAAATCTACTTAATGAATGACTATGAAAGTTTGTTTTTTGTTAAAAACAAATAATTAAACGATGTGACACAAAGGAAAACTAAACTTTTTAAATAATTTGAGTTCTGATGATAGAAAGAAAGTTGTGAAAATTTTGAATTGCATCAGCGTTTACAAAAAACTGTTATTCGTGTGTCTTTATTTTATGGAGTATGTATGAAAACACAACTCTAGAGCGATAATGTAAAACAGAGCAAGTCATGATGGGAATTACCATACTTTTGTACTTGACGTTAATTTGATTATTTTAAGAGATTTAAAGTTTCTTTGAAGTAATTTATGGTACTTTAAAATAGTTTGAGCTACTTACAGGTACTTAACACATTGGACACGGTGGGTTCCTTCGTGTAATATATCATCTGTTCTCTCCGCTATTGTTTGAATTATTTATTGCATAGAATGGTGTTTCTCGTTGAAACAACCAAGACAATAAAATTTGTCACAATCAGAGCAGAAGGTTTCCATTTTCTTTGCTATCGCATTACTTCCTTCTCTTGATTGTTGTTGTTTGATTTTCTCGTAGCAGCAAGCACAGCGTCTTCGGATATCGTGGTCCGACTCTTCCTTTTCTTTGAGCTATTAGAGAGAAGCAAGTAATGCGATAGCAAAGAAAATGGAAACCTTCTGCTCTGATTGTGACAAATTTTATTGTCTGGGTTGTTTCAACGAGAAACACCATTCTATGCAATAAATAATTCAAACAATAGCGGAGAGAGTAGATGATATATTACACATAACCTTCTATCCGAGAAAAAGGAAAAGAAAGTGTTTTTCTAGTCATTTTCCTGTTAAAATATGGTGGATCCCACCGGTGGGATCCATCGTGTCGAATGTGTTGAATTACTTTGAGATATTTTAAACTATATAAAACTAATTTAAGTTACTTCAGGTTACTACAAACTACTTCCGAGTTTCAAATACTTAAGTAATTCGACGTCCTTTAAACATAAGTCAGTGTCTTTGGAACGACTACTACATACTTTGAGCTACTCTTGTCATATGACGTACTTTTCTACCTCAAGTATGCCATTTCTCTTTAGTAAATTATAGTAGGAAAAAAGCAATCATTCACATAGCATAAACATGTATGAAAAGTCTAAATGAGAAACATTTTACAAATCTACTATTTTATTTTTTATCAATTTTATATCAAGTTTCAATCAACTTAGGCAACATTCGCTTACAGATAGATTTATGGAATTGAAATTAGTATATATAAGCAATCATCACTACAGTGATATTCAACTAAGTACGAGATTCATGGTTGCCTATTCATTATTAAACTATCACAATTGAAAGATCGATGGATCATCCATTGAGAACTCTTCTTTACATTTTTATTTTCCTTACATTTCAAAACTTGTTTAGAGATTGGAATTATAAAATTCTCAATTCGGTTTCTTAGAGAGCATGAAACTAACTTTTTCAAAGATAAAAATCTTTCAACACATGAAAAATGAATAATCAATTCCTATTCACATTCTTTTCCTTTTGAAATCTTTCTACAATGAAAAGTCTTTTAAATATCATATCAGACAATGACTATGTGATTCAATGGAAAAAGTAATAAATATGTCTGCATGTTTGTTTTATCTATTTTTCCTTATATTGTAGATAACAGATGGACTAACGAAAGAGTATTAATCATATATTGAAAGAGGAATAAATCATTAGCTCTTTGCACCAGCAGTGTCCAAGGACTGAGTTTTGGGAATTCTTCCAATTCCTAAAAGCACCAGCTAAAAGTGACATATTCCTCGAGGAACTGAGAACTGACCCTCAAGCACTTCACGAAACCTCCTCGGTTCGTCATTAATTCCTTGTCGTGAATAAATCACAAACCTTGGCAACGACAGTTCTCAAACCACGATGCTTTCTCATTTCCTCCAGTGGGTATTGACCGCCGATAATCTCTCAGAAAGGAATCGAGGAAATAACTAGAACTAACCGTCAATAACGATCGGGGGACCTGACACTAACATTAGCCAATATCATTCGAATCCCATAAGAAGGACCCAGACAATAACAATTACCACACCAATGGGAGGAGACGCCGGGGAACTAAGGAATTGTGACAGTTTTGTTGACAGTTCCTTGAAACGAAGGTGGATACCTAGAAAGTTTCTAGGTATCCACCTTCGTTTCAAGAAACTGTCGCAGTTCCCCAGTTCTTCGGTTTTTTTCTATGTATGATATAATTTGAGTATCTAAAGAGTACTACGTCATTACCTCAATTCTCTCGGGGAACTGAGGGTGGGTACCGTGCAGGTATCCACCTCAGTTTCTAGGAACTGTCAGCAGAACTGTCACAATTCCTCCGTTCCCCGGCTTTTTTCGGTATCCGGTATAATTTTACTATCGAAAGAGTACTACGTCGTTACCTCAATTCCCCTGGGGAACTGAGGGTAGGTACCGCGTAGGTATCCATCTCAGTTCCCAGGAACTGTCAGCATAAGTTAAACCTTTCCCTAGTATCTATGCTGCCTTAAATGAATCAAGAAAGCCTCCCAAGAAGTATAGAGTTTATATCAGAAAAAAATCAAAAGCCTCAGTCCTTCTCGTTCCCTTGGCATATTCCCCACAGTTCTGCCCAGTTCTAAATGACAATTCCTTGGTTGAAATTTCCGTGACCAATTTCCCAGGAAAACTAAAAAATTATCCCTTTTATCGAAGGGGTATACGACTCAGCTAATCAATCCTTCTCGAAGTAATAGGAACTGAGGGTAGGTTTCTTCTAGGCATCTACCTCTGTTCCGCGAGGAATTCAAGTAACGACGTAGTACTTTTCAGATACTAAAATCACATCAGATACAGAAAAAAGACGGGAAACTGAAGAATTGTGACAGTTCTGCTGACATTTCCTAGAAACTTAGATGAATACCTACACGGTATCTACCCTCAGTTCTCCAGGAGGATTGAGGAAACGACGTAGTACTCTTTAGATACTAAAATTATACCATATATAGAAAAAAGCCGGAGAACTGGGGAACTGTGACAGTTTCTATGAACTGTCAACAGAACTGTCACAATTCCTTAGTTCCCCAGCGTCTCCTCCCATTGGTGTGGTAATTATTATTGTCTGGATACTTCTTATGGGATTCGAATGATGTTGGCTAATGTTGGTGTCAGTTCCCCCGATCGGTATTGATGGTTAGTTCTAGTTATTTCCTCGATTCCTTTCTGAAGGATTGTCGGCGGTCAATATCCACTGGAGGAAATGAGAAAGCATCGTGGTTTGAGAACTGTCGTTGCCAAGGTTTGTGATTTATTCACGACAAGGAATTTATGACGAACCGAGGAGGTTTCGTGAAGTGCTTGAGGATCAGTTCTCAGTTCCTCGAGGGATATATCACTTGTAGCTGGTGATTTTAGGAATTGGAAGAATTCCCAAACCTCAGTCCTTGGACACCCCTTCCCTAGAGTTCTACGATCTCTATTGATGTTGCTTTCTTTTAAGATTTTTTTCAACTAGTACATACACTAGTGGCATTTCAACACTATTCTGAGTCATGGTTTGATACATCAACATCTTATTACATATTGCGACAGTCAAACTATGCATTTTTTCTTTGTGTTTGTTTAACTAGACGTTAATAACTATGATTTTTTCTATAAAGTAAATTGTCAAGCGTCCGACAATGAGTCGTATAACAAAATAGAATTGAATTTCTGTGATGCAATTAGTTCAGCGTTATCATGCTCATTATTTAATGATGATTGATTGATTAGTTTTTGAACAAGAATTGTACTTTTCTATTATTGTCTGTTATGTACGTATATATGTAGTGCATCTAAATAATTTCTAGGTTTACATGTTCCAATCCATATTGACATTTGTTCACTTCAAATAATTGTTCAATTGCTTGAATATATTCATTATGAAGTTGATCTATATCAGTAGCAGTTGGATCAACAATTTTATTGACATGAATTGGTTTTCCAACTGAAAATATATTATTCATCTTTTAATGAATGTTATTATTTTCCTACCAACAGTAATCACCGGATGTCGAAGTGGAATATGTCCAACAATAGATCGACCACAAGGAATTCCGTTTGGTATCAAATTAAAACAAGTTCGTCTTTCATAAAGTTCATTTTCTCCAAATGAAATAACAGGTACTAATGAAGCACTAAAATAAAGTTGAGAAGAAAAGCAATTACTTGTTAATGATTTCAAAAGTATAACACTTACCCATGTTTTAATGCTAATTTGACAAAACCTTTTCTTCTCTTAATGTAAAATATCATAGTATCATTTCTTGTTGCATGCATTTCAGGAACACCACCAAGAACAATAACTAATGCATTCCCTTGACCACACTTACCACTAAGTAAATATTCACAACTCCTTCTTGATACACAACATGCACCTAAAAAAATAGGCAATATTTTATATCCAATCGATAGTGTCAAAAAAAAAGAAGTTCACCTAGATTGAGGAAAAGATCACGTGTACATGGAAATAGAAACTGAAGACGAAGAAGCATTAAATGTGGACGTATATTTGGAAATAGAATAGAAAATTGTGTAGCATCTGTAGCAAAATTACCGAAAGCACTCAAAGAAAATGCTCCATGCGGATGATATCCAAATATATAATTTCGATTTGGATCAAGATCTTCACTTTTAATTAATTTAAGAGGAAAATAATTTGCAAATTGTTTCCATATGCATAATCGACGAAATCGATTAGACCATCGACCTCCTTTTGAATCAGTACGATAGTCAAAAAGAAGCCAACAACCATATATCAGACAAATACCAAGAATGATAAATAAATACCAAAATTGTTTGAATACACAAAGAAGAATAATTGGAATAAGGATAAATAGAAATGTAATAATAGGTGAAAACAAGAAGATAGTAATTAGAATAGTAATTACTAATAATTGAATAATTTGTGCACAAACCATATTCTAAAAACAAACCAATATCTTCAGGTTTTATAAGGAAGATGAAAAACGCGACTTGTAGCACTCAGTCTAACAAGTATGCAGAAACCTGCAACTGTCATATGAAAGAGAATAGAAACAAAATAAAAAAATCAGGTTTTTTTCTTCAAGAAACAGATGCTCTAGTGTAAACTAAACCATGTAAACGAATAGCTAATACTTATGTTTGATTCTTCGTGTTTCTTTTGAGTGCTTGTGTTTTGTCATAAAATAAGTTGTCTGTTAATTAATAACTAGCTTTTACCATACGAGATATATAACTCATATCAAACAATAATCACTTATATTCTACAACAAAAAATATTTATAAAACTTTCATCATCCTCCAGAAAAAAGTCAACACGATTAACTATATTGTCAGAGAGATTATTAAAATACCAATAAGAATCAGCCAACAAGATCGACCATACTACATGCATGTTTTGCCGTACTTTCTGGTTAAATAGAAGAAAAGAAAAAAAAAACTTCTCCCTTTTTTCTGTGGACGTCATGAATCAAAATAAAGAGTAAAGAAAGTAAGATGTGTATTATGGTAAACGTCTTCTTTGCTGCCACATGCTGTCATGATCTTAATATGATTGAAGGTTTATTATGCCACATATAGAAATGCGTTAGAAAGAGGAATGATCAAATATTTTCTACCATGTTCAAGCCAATTTCAAAGTCATCAAAAAAACTTTTCTCATAAAAGGTTCACTTGAAGCTACTTTGCCGCTTTTGGAAGACATCAGATCCATGTATATAAAGGTAAAGTTACGGTGAAATTCTCATCCTGTTCTTCGATAATATCCAGGGTAAATGTGGATGTGGTATAAGATATAATGATCACCGAAATCCTCACCTAAAACTCACATCATTTCTATGGTTTAATTTTAAATTTTTTTAATGACTCTTCTTATTTTTTTTATTATGATAATCATGAGGTTTTATAGACCACTCAAAGAATTATGCAACAACTGGTAAAAGAAGCCGATATTTTGGAGACTATACATAGACAGTTCATATAAAAGATTATAGAGTCACACTTGAATGTTTCACAATCTTGGAGCTTTGCAAAATGATGCTCAGAGAAGTTAACTTTCGAGTAAGAACATCATCAGAAATTAAGACTATCGAATTGAGTTTGAAGTATTTTCCACTCGATCGATATTTATATAGACAATAGCTTATATATTGTACATAAAAGTATTCTCGATTTCAAAGAATCATTTGATCTAGTTTCGATGACTAATTCATGTTGAATGAAGTTCTTCAAGTGTCTAGAATTCAACATTGAAATGCTCGCCAATTTAAGTAATTTTATTAAATATATAATTGCGTTAGATAGACTTTAAAAAATTCAATCGATTGAATCAAATTCTCATGCTCTGTAATTCTAAGTTTGAACAATTTGTAGACATTCAGGGTTATCTGGATAAGATTGACTAATGTATTTGAAACAGCTGTAAGCGGTGAATTTTGTCTTTTTCGAGAATAATCGTTTTAATCATGTGTACAAATAAAGAGATGGTTTCGAAGTTTTTCGTATGTTCATTTTTTTTAAATAACGTTAATACGTACCAAAAATTATCAATGCTACAACGATATCGAGTCATTTCGGTATTAATGTTTTTAACGTCGGTCAATAAATCTGTCATCTTTCAATAAGTTATAGTTTGATAACAATGAGTAGAATAAGTACAATCACAAAAAATCTAGACTATATGAAATTGAGAAAATTTATAAGTTAAGTCAATAAGTGATTTTTTTACGATCAGTCAAAAAGAATCAAGGATGTTCCTTCATCTTCAAACTTAGCAATGTCAACATTATGACATAGTTTGACATCATTTATAATACATAACAGTTTTTTAATATGTTGTTCAATTTTATCTTCTTCGTACATGTAAAACTAAATCAAAACGAAATTTGTCAAATTACATCATTCCATAATGGATCAGATGTGAAATGTGCTCGAAATTATTTCTTCCTTTTTTTCGAAAATACATTCAAACAAAAAAAACAAACATTTTTTTCTTTATATATATAACATATGTTTTAAACAATGTTTTTTCTGGTTTAGAAGTTTTATTCTTTCAATATTTCTATGACTAACTTCTGGATCTTCTTCATTACAACGAAAGAATAGTGTTCAAAATCTATTCTATTTGAAGTAATGTTGGAGGTTTTAAAATCGAAAAATTCGAGAATTGATGTCAATCAAGTCATGAATAGAAAAACGGCACGTTTCGACCTCAATATTTATTGAAGAATAATGCTTACCTTCTTTTGACTATAAATGATCAATATCTTTCAGAAAGATCAACAATTTCATGTAAGACAAACAGCATTCTATTGCTGCCATTCTTTCAACATAATACAAGCGAGCTCTATATGTTTTATAGTTACTGAGAAACAATAATACGTGACCCAGTCTAGTGGTTTCTAGACAATCTTAAAAAAGTGCTGAAACCTGTTATTGTTGATACTATATAATCGTATTGATCTATCTACGCCTGGCGTAGTATGTTGAAATGCTTTTTTCTTCGATGATTGAAAATATCTCAATTAGTATCAAATAAGAATTGAGGATCATACATCATCGATTCAGTAATGTTTTTGGAACTGTAGAAATATGCTACCTCGATTTTCTTTCTTTGAGAACAATTATCTTGTTTTCCATCAAATCTTCTAAGTTTTCTTTAACGTGAGAAAAGATGAGTTATCACCGTATTTTAACACTATTCGAATAGAATATTTTATAAAGGAAAATAAATCATATACATTGACTATTATAGAAGAGTAAATGTGATTTGTTAAGCTATTTACTATAGTAGCAAAAATTTATTAATATGAAAAATTATGAAAAACAATGTGTTAACATGGCACGGAAAAGCATAAAAAATAAAGCCAAACAAGAAAACAAATAACAATAAAACCGAGGATAGATTGCATTAAACGTACAATGAATAGAACTATGTAATACTCGGAAAATAAAGAAAATCCATGCAGCAACAACATATGGTGTATCAACTTGCTGCGTTATAAATAAGTAGATTGAAAGCGCATAAAACAATACAGGCATTTCAAATAAATTTTTTAGATTATCTGATGGATTTGATATAGCAGGAGGCGAAATTCGTGCTAGTTCACCAGGACGCATAAGTTGTTCTGGTCGAATATTTTTCGATTGAAGAAAATGAATACGTCGAATGAACAAATACACCCAAACAATAGTTGTCAGTAACATTGTAGCAAAAAATGGTCCAAAAATCCGAAGTTGTTGTTTTTCTTGAAAATTCTCTTGTACCATCTTTAACAATAATTGTTAAATTATATAAAGTCAGTAGAAAACAATCTAAGATAGGAACAAATGCATAATGAATATTTACAAAATAAGAAAGTAAGTAAGAAAGAATAGAATAGCATTGCCAATGAAGTCAATGGTAGATGGCGTTCATATTAAGTAAATGTATATATAGGGTTTTTTATTTGGCCGAAGTTGAAACTCTATTATTTATACATTCTTATTTATCTTTATTGAAAGAAATACATTCGATTAATGCTATATGCACTGTGCAATTGGAAGACTTATCGTATGGATGAATATAATTTTAAATGCAAAAACACTTGATTTTTATAATTAAATAAAAACTAAAAACTTATCAATTCACATACTAAAAAAATCACCATAAATTACAATATTTTAATGAGCATCAATGTGTATACATAGAAAACAAAAAAAAAAAACTGAGAAATAATGAGATCATTAAGAAAGACACAACACACATTTAGCCAAAAAAGGCTTTAGTGTGCTGAATTAAAAAATAAACAAATAAACAGAATAAAATTAAAGCTCATTGATCTTAATTCATTTGACATGTTTAATAAATCGAGCAATACGTCGTTGGTTTTCGAGTAATTGTCCTGATTTATTTGATGCTAGTATATTTCCATTTCGACGTTGCTTTTGCTGTTGTTGTTGTTGCTGAATAGGTGGAAGCGCGTTATAACGATATGGAATATTTTTTGATGTAGACATTGGTCTAGCGATAGAATCAGCAACATTACCAGAAATACTATTATCACGTTTTGTTGGTTCAGATTGAATACAAGAAGGAATTTTATTAGGATGATAATTTTGAGAATATGAAAGAGGTTCAGATACACGTTTTTCAAGTTCTTCAAAAGCAACTGGTGGTGAATGAAGTGATCGAGATACTGTTCCATTAAGAACACCTATTTGAAAGTAAAAATATTTTAGAACAAAACAAAAAGACATATTTTATGTATCCTAAACCGCTTTTCTTCATTGCAAGTAATTGTTGACGTGCATCAATAAGTGCATCTTTTAATTGTTCACGTTCTGTACATTCTTTATGCACTGTTTCTTGTAAAGTTATCATCTAAATAGAAAAACCATTGTTTCATAAAATATTTCTTCAAATTTTTAGCGCTTTTAGAATTACTGAAAAAGAAAATAACTAGAATGAGAAATTTTATTCATTTTCGTCGTATTTCTTCAGAATATTTCAATGAAGTTACGCGGAAGTTTCTTCAGCTGTCTCCTTCTGATTTTGATGCTTTTGTTTTGCTGCATCATGTTCTAATAAAAATCCTACAAGGATTTACGTTCTCATTATTATTGGAACAAGCTATCGAATTTTTGTATGTCCGTTTTGTCGAGGTTCAGAATGGTTTTCACAAAACTTCTATTTTTTGAATTTGGATCTGAAACTTTGCGTGTATAGAGGACTCAACTAGACCAGGGTTCATAAAAAAATTCGCAAGTTTTGAACGAAATCTCTTCGAGATATGAAGATTTCAAAAAATGCATGTTGTATACACTATTTATGGAGAAAGGTCTACAAGGTATCATATCTGAGAGACACTGTTCAAACCTTTTACGATTTTTGTATGGAAGCTAGTCAAGTTGAGTTCTCTGTATACACAAAGTTTCACATCATAAACCAAAAATACGA